CTTGCATCTTGGAAGCATCTATGAAGAGAATTGCTTGTATGCTGAGCCTTTAGTGAAATTAAAGGGGCAAGCAAATATTTTGACACTTTGTGCCTCACATGAATGATAAGGGACATAAGCTTGTTGACTTCTGTTTTTCCTCTGCAGAAAGGCTGGATGGGGGAAGGAGCATGTGCTCCTGCCTTTTGGGGGAACTAGGAAATAGCTAAGTTTAGGTTCTGTGAGTATAAAGCAGGAAGCAGAGTTAAGTGGCTTAAATACTTGCAGTAACAGCATCAGAAATCCTGCTCCAGAGAAAAGCTTTCCTACCTCTTCACTACCTTTCCCAGTTCTGAGAGCTGGATCTCCTCAGGTCCAAAAGACAGCTTAGCCACACAGTGTACAGTAACTTTTTGTTGTGTTGTTTTGTTTCTGTTTGATTGTTTTGGGGTTTGTTTGTTTGTTTTTTAAATGCAGGCCAGGAGATCGATGTTTTCAGCATTCAAATTACTGTAGAGTTAAAATCTTAAACTAAGATGATGGATACATTTGGAACTAGAACAGAATTTTTCCTGTACTTTTCCAATACAGATATGCTAACAATATCTGTCATCTCAGTAACTTTACTCTTGACAGTTGTCAAGATTGTTCTTGGTTGTTTTGTTCTTAACTGAGTCTGTTCTTAAGGCTTATGTTTGGAGTACTTATTTTAGCTAGGGTTTCCAGGTTTTGCGGTCATTTTTGACAAATTCAAACAACAAAGCACAGGAAAATTGAATTGAGATGATGTTGTCTTGCATATTGTGTATATTTATTTATTTTTTCCTTACTCTCTTTGAATAGAGAAGGTTCATGCAGAAATTGAAGCAGTTCTAGGATGTGACAAAATACCCTCCCTTTCCCACAAGGCTCAAATGCCTTTCACAGAGGCAACCATTCTGGAAGTGCAGAGGATGACTGCAGTTGTTCCCCTGTCTATTCCTCGAATGGCCTCAGAAACTGCTGGTAAGTGTAGAGACTTGTTAATACAGCATTTCTTTTGTTGGTGAAGAACTGATGGGATATCTAGTGACAATTTACAAAGGCTTTGTTTATGTATTAGACAGGTAACCCAAGTACGTAAAATGCCCTTTATAGGGAATAGACGGGCTCAAGATTCTCCTTTATCTAAGTAGCATGTCTGACCTAACATCCAGAAGTTTGCTAACTTTGAGCAGTTTCTTTTCTGAGCTTGTGCTGACTGGTGTGCTTTGTGACAGTTGGCAGCTAAGACTCAGTACCTGAAGTGGCCAACTGATTTTGGACATCTCACACAGAGGTCTGAAACTATCAATCTGGAGCAATTGATTTGCTAAAACTTGAAAGGCTTATGCCATTGAGCTCCACACCTACAGAAAACAACAAAAAATATATTTTCCCAAGTCATCTTGTTGGCAGTATGTTTTCACAAACATACCTGAACAGTGGCCAAAGTGAAAGGGTGGTAGCAACACTTGACTTTCAAACCCGGCAATGCATTGATCTGTTTTTCTTAAACGTTTTGGCTAGCAGGACAGTGAGGTGCAACAAGCTGAAATGAGAATAGTCACTTCAAACCCCTTTTGTGATAACAGTTCAAAATCTTCCCTCTTCCTCTGTGACAGCACAGGAAAAGAAGGAAAGTGGGTCACAACACTTCCATGCAGCAGAGTGCATTTTGAATGATTGCTGCTTCTGTTTCCCAGGCTACCTTTGCCTTAAGCTCCTGCTTCATTTGCAGCCCACAGCTTGGGATCCATACAGTTTTTGTGACATCATCTAGTCATCTTTTTAACAACTATGAGACTCCCCTGTGTACTTCTAGCAAATTGTCTGATCTTCTGTACTTTTGTTTAAAGTACTGCAGGGATATACTATTCCTAAGGGCAGTGTGATCGTTCCCAACTTGTGGTCAGTACATAGAGATCCTAACATTTGGGAAAAACCAGATGAATTTCAACCATCAAGATTCCTGGATGAAAATGGCCAGCTAATTAAGAAAGAGGCATTCATTCCGTTTGGAATGGGTAAGATACACACAGTGAGGAGCTGGTGGGGGGAAAGTGGTATTTCAAGTGTAGGGCCTTGGAGGTGTAAGATGTGAAAGTTGCTTGTATGACCAACTACAGAACTTTGTATTACAGTTGGTGGCTTGCAAAATGGGTTGGGTTTGGTTCCTGAAGTCTGCAGTTGCTAGGGAGAAACGAGAAATTATTAATACTATGCTGTGTATGTAAATGCTGTTAAGAAGCAGGACAGCTGGCCAAGGCTTAGGCTGAAATACAGGAGACCAAAGCTTCAGAATTCAGAGCTAAGTAGTAGCTTGAGCCTTTCTGTGTTTGGACTATGCAAGCATGGGAGTTGTAAGTGTGTTAACAAATGTATCAACAGTATAAAAACAGTAATATGTCTCTTTTAACTGTTCTTTAGGTAAACGTGTGTGCATGGGAGAGCAGTTGGCAAAAATGGAGCTGTTCTTAATTTTTGCAAGTCTAATGCAAAGTTTTACCTTTTTGTATCCTGAAAATGATGCAAAACCATCTATGGAGGGAAGGTTTGGTCTGACTTTAGCTCCATGTCCGTTCAATATAATAGCTTTGAAGAAATAATGGAACATCTACAAAGATTAAATGAAGAAATACTGCACTTTAAAAATCCAGCTTTATTTTGTTTCTAGCTTACTTTGTTACATTCTTTCCAGAACACCACCAACTCCAGAGGGTTTCAGGGTCAGTGAGAATGATCGATTGACACTTCTGGAAAAAGAAAATTTGGGTTTTTTTTTGTCAGCTGTTGCATTCCACAAATGAACTGACAGCATAGTTTGTGATTTGATGCTAACATTTTCTGGGGTTAGCCCCTCTGTCTATAAGCTATATGTCAATTGTCAGTTTGTCACTAAATGTCAGTTTGTAAAATATTAATTATGGGAGAATGGTCCAAAAGATCTGATAATGCTTAGCAAATAGTAATTGTTATTTTGGTAAAAGCAGTATGTAAACTTTTTTTTTTACCAAATGAGGAAAGAACATCTTCTAATACCAAAAGGATTAATGAATGAGAGGGTGTTTTTTTTCTGTGTAAAGAAACATTATAACTGAGCTTAAATAATGATAGATGCTTTTTGGAGATTACTAAATCATGCTTATTTTAACCTTGGAGGACTCTTTCTTGAAAGTAACTCATTAGGTGTAGATTGGATTCCTGCACTATCAAGGCTCACTATAAACAAGCAGGTGCCAATTCTAAAAACCCAGGCTTGGAGGCAAAGTGAATCCTTGAATATACAGTGTTCTTAATGTGAAAGGAGTGGGCTGCGTCTGGATGCAGATGCTTTATCTCAGAATATAAATGAGAGCAGACTTCTCTAACAAGAAACAGAAGTCCGTTCTCTTTGGTGCCAAGCAGGTACTCAAGACAACATCTGTACTGCCACTTCATATTCACTGTTTTCCCCACGCCAGCAGTGGCTGCAGTCTGGATGAGACCAGCAGCCCACTCATCGCGGAAAACTGCGTGCTTAATCCTGAGGCTGGGGCTTGCACTCAGGTTAGCATTGTCAGGGACTGTGGACAGTACTGCCACTACCTTTTTGGCTTTGGGAACTGGAGTCTTACTTTAAACACAGCATCAATACAGCACTACAGATGTCTTACATGTTTAGGCATGGAACATGAGGAATCTAACAAACTTGAGGTTTGAATATAAAGGCTTTCTCTTTGCTATCTTCCATGTGGAGTAACAAGATCTGTACTTCATACCGTATTAGTGGTATCATACCTTACTCCTTTCAAATGCAAAATTTCAGTGCTGTTTCCCACTGTCAAACCAGTCACCAGGGAAATCTTGGGTATTTCAGAAGGGGACACTCCATCTTGCCTTTTATTTGAAAGATGTCTCACACATCAAAAGTGACCTTTTGGAATTCCAACATGTAAAATTAACTTCTAAATTATTGTTCTTAATCATCTTTAAATCTCTTTATACACCGTTTGATCTAGCAGATTTTCATATCAGATTAAATAAGTACATATGTACTTGTGTAAGGAATTTTTTTTTTGTTTCCTTTATTGGAGATATAGAAAATGTAAGCAGTCCTCCTAATGTCAAGTTTACAAGATTGGAATGTGAACTTGACTGTGGAGTGGAGTTGGGTATTCCAGAACAGAAACCAGACCTAAATTGTAAAGTAAGTGTTAACTCTTCAACTTCAAATTAATTTACGTTTTTATCACTTTTTAACTTGAGGTTTTAAAAGGCAGGTAGTGCCTAGCAAAGACTGTAAGACAGTTATTTTGGATTTAAATTAAGATTTTCTGTTAGCTGTTCTGAATAATAGATTGGCTTAATTTCTAGATTATATATTTAGTTGGTCAGGTACCCCACTGGGAAGTTGGTGCAAAAACTTCCAGTTCTTACATAGGCTATCTTAAGACTTTCTAGGTTGCCCATGCTCATCTTCAGTCTTTTCTTTGTATAACATTGTTGAAAACCCCATAGCACGATAAAGTTGAGTTTGGTACCGAGGCACTAAAAGCTGACAGTATTGGAGTGATAAGTAATTTATTTCTTTAACTGTATACTTTCCAATGAATAAATGGATTCCGTACACTTGGGATTTTTGTCTGGAAGTTCATAAAATTATATTTGCTTGATTGCAAAGCTAAAATTAAGTGCTGATAATATTTATCTTTCTGTTGAGATGCTATTCAAGCAACATAATGATGTTGGTGTGCAATTAATCATTTATGTTAAATACCTGTCCTTCTAATCAATGAGGACACGTTTGAAAAACACTTTAGTAGTATTCTTTTTTTGAAAGATTCCAAAGAAGACACAATTCTCATAATTCCATAGTATGTGGAATTGTACATATTTGTTCTCATTTTGCCTGCTGGGACTAGTTTAAAACGTCACCTCTGAAAAATCCTTCTACAAATAGTACTTTGAGATGCAGTTTTTGATGATACCTGTAATCAGATGCTGCGTGGTGTGACCAGCTAAAAATACTGATGTGAAGGTGCAGTCGTGTCCATGCCTGCCAGGATGCAGGATGCTGTTGGAAATTACAATAAAGACCTGCCTTTCATGCTTTCCAGATGCACTGATATTTTCTCAGGATGCCGTGAAAACAGCTAAACTATAGCACAAAAGCAATGAAATGTTTGTGGTTAAAAAATTTGTTGCCATTTTTGGTAAACTGTAAGTAAAGTGTTACCAGATTTGGTTTGTATTTGTGAATGTATCCTTCCCCTACCTTTTTGTAGCAGAGAAAGCATCTCAGATAATGCCTTATTGAAAAGAGTGTGTTTATAGAAGTGGATGGCTATTTCTGAATGCTGGAAATGTCTTTATTTCTAAAAATTACTTCAGACTTTGCTTCAGTGTAATTTATTTTTAATAAAGTAATTCCTAAATAAGTTTTTGGCAGTTATTTTAATGAGTTCCACTTGTTGACTAAGCTTGTGGTGTCTGGCATTTTACAAAGAAAGCTTTTGAGTGAGAAGATGTTATAAAATGTTTTGGGTGAGGAGATAAGGGGGTGGGGGAGTAAAATTACACTGGGAATATACAACGCCAGGCATGTTATCGTCAAATGATAGACTGCTATGTCTGTTCATTCTCTCAGTGCAGTTTTAAAAAGTTGCTTGGAATAAAAGGAGAGGGAAGAGTAGAGAAAAGAAGATAAAGTGGAGAGTGAGTTCCCACCAGGAGATGAACAGTCTTAAGGAAAGAGGTAGGAAACAAACCTGTGGGCAGAGTTGGTGTAGTTTTGTTGGACTCCTGGCATGAAGGGGGTCAGAGGGAGGGGAGTGCCCGGGGAGAGCCTGGGGTGCTGGACAGAAAGCTGGGGCTTCTGGCCAGGAGGGAGCCCAGGGAGAGGCAGGAGATCCCTCAACACAGGAGGGGAGGGCCGAGCAGGAGACAGTTATGGTGCTTGTGGGGAAGGAGCGGGTGTGAGCACTGGTGTGTACAGTGCTGGGCACTAGGGAGCAACAGCTGTTTGTGGAAATCGTGTCTCTTACACACTGGAGTTAGCTTGCAGGTAACTTGGCATGTTGCTGTTTTTTTTAGGGAATGTCATTAATTACCTGCTCGGCTGTCATCTGTGTACACAAGGAACAGGAACTCTGAGTTGAGTAAAGCTGTTTGCAGCAGCCCCTTGCTGCTCCTGACTAACCTGCCGTCAGATGAGGGTGGGTGAGGAAAGGGGGGATTTTTTGCACTGTGCTTTTGGTACAAAGTGCAGAGATAGGAGAATATTCGGCTTCCTTTGTTGGAAGAAAACAAGTTGGGTAATGTTCACCGATTCTGACCCAAGCAGGACACACTGCTGTGTTTTCAGCTGCTGCTGACTTGAGATGCTGGTTGTTCTGGCGGTAAAGGGATCGAAGGGATCGAAAGCCGTGGCAGCCTGCATCTGATGAGGTTCAGTCATTTGTGTTTATACAGGAAGGGGTTTCTTTTTTTATTTATTTAGGACGGTCTGTGCGCCTGCCCAGCGGCAGGACGCGGTTCCCGCGGGCCCGGCCGCTCCTTGGCGCGCTCCCGCGGCTGGCGGAGGTGACCTCTGCCCCAGTGAGGCGCGTGTCTCCCTGTCACGGGCCCCCCCGGCAGCACGTGCCGCTCCGGGGATACGGGTTCAAGCGTCATCCGCGATCACCGCCCAGCCCCGCTGCAGCCGCGGGTGAAGAAGAGCGGGAACCCTCAGAGGCAGGGCGCGCGG